ACAATTCCCAGGGACCAGCCTGTGGCTCACTTGGGAAAATGTGGTGCTGATAACACCAAGGCCACAGGTTAGGATCCCTATATAGGGATGGCCGGTTGGCTCACTTGGGAGAGCGTGATGCTGACACCACCAAGTCAAGGGTTAAGATCCCCTTACCGGTCATCTTTAAAAAAAGAAAGAAAAGAAAAGAAAAGAATTCCCTAGCATTATAAAGAATAAAATAGTTTGAAATGAATTTATCAAAGAAGTGCAAGATATATACACCAAAAAGCTAGAAAATATTGCTAAGAGAAACCACAGAAGCCCTAAAGAAATGGAGAGCTATAGCATATTCATGGGTTAGAATATTGTTAAAATGGCAACTGTGCCCAAATCGACCATAAATTCAATGTAATCCCTAACAAAATCCCAATAGATTTTTCTGTAGAAATTGACAAACTGATTCCAAAATTTATTTGGAAATGCAAAGAACCTGAGATAGTCAACACAATTTTGAAAAAGAAGAACCAAATTAGTTCTCACACTACCCAATTTGAAAACTCACCATAAAGTTTCAGTAATCAAATCAGTGTGGTACGCAGTCATATTGATCAATGGAATAGAACAGAGAATCCAGAAATAAACTCACACACTATGATAAACTGATTGTCAATAAAAGTGCCAATGTAATTCAATGGGCAAAAGACAGTCTTTTGAATAAATGGTCCTGGAACAATTGAATATGTATGGTAAAAACAAAAACAAAAACCAACCTTAGACCTTTACGTCATATCAAACACAAAGGTTAACTCAAAATGGACATTAGACTCAAATGAAAGAGCTAAAACTATAAAACCTCTAAAAGAAAACATAGGAGGAAAATCGGGTGACCTTCAACTAGTCAATGATGCCTTAGTTATGAAATGTTATGTGCTTATAGATAAGCACAATCCGTAAAAGAAAAAAAGTTGCTAAATCAGACTTCATCAAAATTAAAACCTTTAGATCTTCAAAAGACACCATTAGGGCCGGCCCGGTGGCGCACTGCTACAGTGCGCCGCTTGGGAGCGTGGCGGCGCTCCCGCCGAGGGTTCGGATCCCACATACAGACCAGTTCCCGCTCACTGGCTGAGTGAGGTGCGGGCGCAACACCGAGGGTTGCAATCCCGTTGCCGGTCCCGGTCCGGTACGGGCGCGACACTGAGGGTTGCAATCCGTTGCCGGACACGAAAAAAGACAAAAAAAAAAAAAGACACCATTAGAAAGTGAAAGGATAAGCCACATACTTGGAGAAAATATTTGCCAATAATATAATCTAATGAATGACTTTTATTCAGAGTTTATAAAGAACTCTTATAAGTCAATAATAGGACAAACAACCCCCCCCAAAAATTTTTTTTTAAAGATGACTGGTAAGGGGATCTTAACCCTTGACTTAGTGGTGTCAGCATCACGTTCTCCCAAGTGAGCCAACCAGCCATCCCTATATAGGGATCCTAACCTGTGGCCTTGGTGTTATCAGCACTGCACTCTCCCGAGTGAGCCATGGGCTGGGCCGGCCCAAACAACCCAATTTAAAAATGTGTGGGAAAAATCTGAATACAGTTCACCAGAAAAAAAAAAAAAAAATACAAGAATGTCAAATAAGCACATGAAAAGATGATCCTCAGCATTACAATGACTTTTACAGAGTATATAAAGAACTCTTACAATTTAATAAGACAAATAAACCAATTTAAAAATGCAAAGATTTGAGTGAGGGCTTTAAAAGAAAAAGAAAAAAAAATGCAAAGATTTGAACAGATCCTTCACCAGAAAAGATACACACAAATGGCAAATAGCACATGAAAGGATGTCCAACAGCATTAGTCACTCAGGAAATGAGATACCACTACACACCTGCCAGAGTGGCTAAAATAGAAAGACTGATAATACCAAATATTTGTAAAGGTGGTAGAAAAACTAGAACCCTCAAACACTACTGGTGGGAACGTATAATGGTACAGCCACTTTGGAAAACAGTTTGGCAGTTTCTTAAAAAGTTAAATATAACCTACCATACTACCCAGTAATTCCACACCTTAGTATCTTCCCAGAAGAAATTAAAACATGTTCACAGAAAAACTTGTACAGTTTTGTCATTTTATTCATAACAGCTAAAAACTGGAAACAATCTAAATGTCCATCAACTGGGGATGGTTAAGCAGTAAAAAGACTGCAACTCAACAATAAAAAGGAATGAACTACTAAAGCATGTACTAACATGGATGAACCTCAAAAGTATCATGCTAAGAAAAAGAAGTCAAACACATAAGACTACATATTGTACGATTTCATTAATCTGGAATTTCTAGAGAAGGCAAAACTACAATGACATAAAGCAGGTCAGTGGTTGTCTGGGGTGAGGAATGGGAACGGGCTGACTACAAACAGGCAGAAAGAACTTTATAGTGGGGATGGAAATGTTCTAAACTGGATTGTGATGATGGTTGCATAACTCTACAAATTTACTAAAAACTGAATTATACACTTACATTGGGGGAATTTTATGGTATATAAATTATACCACAATTTTTAAAAATATTTTTTAAATGAAAGAAATGAATTTTTACTAAGTTCATCAAGTATTAACAACTCGCTATATATTAGAGGACAATATGTAAGAATACCTAATCCCAAGCTGCTCATTCTCCAACAGAAATTCAAGTGCTGTGGTTGGAGCCCAGGAAAACACCTTTTCCAGCTGAACTCTACAGGTTTCAGTGCTCATCATTTGATAAAAACCTCAAAAAAGGACAATGAATACAATGCCATAAACCAAAAGTTTTTGATTTGATGTGTTGCTGCCTTGCTTCCAAAGGAGTACATCCTAATCAGTACTGGGATCAGATATTTTCAACTCCACCTATTTGTATTGGTTGGACATGCCCAAATTCGTAGGAAGATTCACCAATGACCTATCAAGTACTCTTAATGAAAAAAAGCTAAAACTTTTAAGAAAGTTAAGTTGGGCAACAGTCAAGAAGCAAAGAAAACTACAGCTCTTTCTAACCCACACTTAAGTTGCTATGAGCTAACATTCACTGAGCTCTTACTGTTAGGTATTACTGTTAAGCACATTTAGATATATTTGCTCATTTGATCCTCATAAAAACAGTATGAGCTGTGAGTGCTTTTATCTCCTTTCTATGAATGAGAAAACGAAGGAACAGAGAAGTAAAGTGACACTTACTCAAGGACATACAGCTAATAAATACCAAGGCTGGGATTTCAACCCATGAATTTACCTAGAGAAACTGTTAACAACTAAGTAACACTGCCTCCTTATTTGTAGTTTTGCCCACTAGAGTTATGTCCCTCTCCTGCTCAACAGTCTCCCACAATTCTCCTTCTAATCAGGGTCAAAGTCAAAGTTCTTACAATGGCCTACAAGGCCCTAAGTGCTCCAGTTATGTTTCTGTAACATCATCTACGCTCACCTACTACATTCCAGCTACCTTGCTGTTCTGAGATCACAGTAGGCCTGCTTCTACTTCAGGGTCTTAATACTTGCTATTCCCACTGCCTGTAATTTCTTCCCTGAGACAGTGGTGGCTTGCTCCTTCATTTCCTTCAGAACTCAACACAAATGTCACCTCAGAGACTAACTACTTAAAACAGAACTCCTCATCCTTTCTACACTGAATTATAGCCACCTGGCAATGTTTATTACCTAACTTCACCATCCAAAATATAAGCTCCATGAGAGCAGGGATATCTAGGAGTCTGGCTTGTACCACTTGTGCCAAGGACAGCAGCTGGTACAAAGCAGATAATTATTAAGTAACTTAAAAATCTGCTGTATGTACTTTGATTTACAACCCAATCATATAACTTCAGGCAGAAATCATGACTTTGTAGCCAATAAAATCCAAACCAAAAGAAAAAAATGAATGTATCAAAGCAGCCTTTTAGAACATTATTTTTATTATTTAAAATCTGATCTCCCTTAATGTGTATGTTATATGTTGGTGCCTCCTTTAAAGGGTTAATTTTTTTTGGAATGACTGACGATTTCTATAAACTACATACCACCCAAAAAATTGTTACAAGTGTAAGATCTTAAATAGTTACTGGTAATAGTGACTCTATCTTGAAGGGGAAAATAACCCCAACTGCCAATTGATGCCTATCCCCTAAGGGAAAATAAAAATCTTAAATGCACTGGGTTGACTTAACACTGTGAAATAAATAATACATCAAATTTAAGCTTCAGTGTTCAATTTACATAAGACTAATTCCTACCTACAGCTGTCAAAACAGATAACTCTTAGCGCGCAAAATGTGCCCGCTTAAAAAAAAGAAAAAAGGCAAAAATAAAATAAAAACTAGTTTTTAAAAACTTACTTTATTTGAGTCATTTTAGAATACATATATTTGCTTTTCTTTCGATTAACAGAGCAGTAAGTCGCGGGACAGTGTTAGCTCCTCCTAAGTAAACTCAATGCTCCCTAGGAAGAGAGGGAAGAGAAAAGAAAGGGGACAACACAAGGAAACATGAGAACAACCTATTCGCCAAAGGACAGGTTTTGTAAGAAGGGGAACCATCATCTTCTGAAACTGCAGATTTCCGAGAACTGATTTCAAACAGATCGGGAGGGATGGGTAAAATCCAACTCTCCGAGTGCTGTTGCAGCAGACCATCCAGGAGCAAATGCTGGCGGCACTTGGGGAGCGATCGAAACATGATAGTAGTAGGGACCTCTTCGTCCCACTCCTATCGAGTACCTCCACGCCACTCACCTTTGGTCCACCTGAACACAAATCACATTAACCAGTAAAGTTACAGGGAATCGGACATCCGACCCTACACACAAACCCTTCGCCCTAGGGCTGTAAAACGCAGCCCACGGAATCCGGGGGACGCCGAAACCCGGGAGTAGCTGGGAACTCTCGCACCAAATTATCTCCGCTTTCTGAAGCTGGAGCCAGGAGGAATGCCACAGGACAAAGCGGGGGAGGAGTGGACATCTCTCCCTTACCTTGATGGCTTTCTCCATGTCGTTCTCCGACATGCTCCGCGTGGCCTCCACAGCCGGGAGCGGCGGAGGCTGCGCAGCTGCCCAGTCCCCCAGCAGCCGAGGGAGCAAAGGGCTCGGAACTCGGGCCCCTGGGCTTGGGGAAGACGGGCAACAGCCGCCCCTGGGGACCGGGAGGGATGGGGGCCCCGGCGCCTGCTCGGCTTCAGCCGGCGGCTCTAGGCTGGCGGAGGAGGCGGCGGCCCCTGGGGACAAGCCTTTGTGCTGGGCCCCGACTTTCCGAGCCGCTCCCGAGCCGCGCAGCTGGTTTGCAGGCGTCCGCCTGGGCCTCCCCAAGGCGCGCCGCACGCAGGACAGGCCCCCGGGCCTTTCGCTGCGCTGGCGCCGTGCTAATAACGTAATGGGGCGGTACCCGACAGAACAGGACCATGGAGGTCGCCGCGGGGCGCGTGTGATTGCGTATACGTCAAAGCCTCCTTACCTGCTTGATGCGGAGGCGATTCATGTCTCCAGAAACACCCTGAGGGAGGGAGCGGCGGAGGTTTATCCGTGATAAAGAGGGAGTGTGGATCCGTGCGGGTCTTGCCGTTAGGAAACCGTATTGTGTATAATATATAGTAGCAATAATAGCTCTATTTTCGGAGCGCTAACCTTACATGAAGCTTTTTCCTCCCTGAATCTCCTTTCATCTTTACAAGATAGACATTTGGCCCTGTGCGGTAAGTTCTTCTGCCCGATTTGCAGATTTGGTAACTGAGGCTCAGAGCGCTGAAGTGTCTTGCCAGCAGCTGAGAAGTGGTCAAGCCAGAATTGGAACCGGAGTTTTTTCTCCTTACAGTAAACTAATTACCTATCAAAGAACCTTGCAGGGGCTTTTGACTAACCATCTTTTGATGGTTCTTCGTTCTTTGGAGGCGATTCATGTCTCCAGAAACACCCTGAGGGAGGGAGCGGCGGAGGTTTATCCGTGAAAAGGGGGAGTGTGGATCCGGGCGGGTCTTGCCGTTAGGAAACAGTATTGTGTATAATATATAGTAGCAATAATAGCTCTATTTTCGGAGCGCTAACCTTTTTAACCATGAAGCTTTTTCCTCCCTGAATCTCCTTTCATCTTTACAAGATAGACATTTGGCCCTGTGCGGTAAGTTCTTCTGCCCGATTTGCAGATTTGGTAACTGAGGCTCAGAGCGCTGAAGTGTCTTGCCAGCAGCTGAGAAGTGGTCAAGCCAGAATTGGAACCGGAGTTTTTTCTCCTTACAGTAAACTAATTACCTATCAAAGAACCTTGCAGGGGCTTTTGACTAACCATCTTTTGATGGTTCTTCGTTCTTTCACTTAATCATTTCTTGAGCACCACTGTGTGCCAGGCTTACTGGACACTGGGGAAACAGTAGGAACAAGACACTGTACCTGTCAATGGATGATTCAGGAAAAGGAAGCAACAATAAACAGAAAAAGAGTATGATGCCGAGAAGAAAATGAACAAATGAGCAGGATGCTGAGGTAAGAGAATAACTGGGTGTGAAGACTCTTGTACCTGTCAATGGATGATTCAGGAAAAGGAAGCAACAATAAACAGAAAAAGAGTATGATGCCAAGAAGAAAATGAACAAATGAGCAGGATGCTGAGGTAAGAGAATAACTGGGTGTGAAGACTCTTTAATATTGGATGATCAGGGATGGTCTCTCGGGAAGTAACATTTAAGCTGAGACCCCTGAGGAATAAGGAGCTGGCTATTGGAAATGCAAGGAAGAGATTTCTAGGCAGGTGGAAAAGCACGTGCAAAAGTACTTAGGTGGAAATAAGCTAAATGTGTTCAAGGAGCATCAAGAATGTCATTTTAGGTGGAGTAGAGTAAGTAGGAGAACGATAAAGGACAAAGTTGGAGATGTGGGCAGAGGCTGCATCATATATGGCCTTAAGGGTCACAGCAAGGATTTTGGATTTTATTCTCAGCCATTGGAAAGTCTTAAAGAGTGATATGATCAAATTTATGTTTTAAAAGATCACTTTGCTGTATAGAGAATGGAATGTAGGCAAGCAAGAGTGGAAGAAGCATTGAGAGCTTTTAGGAGGCTTAGAATAATCCAGATGAGAGAGTATTATGATGCTTGAGGTGCCAGTAAACATGCAGGGAGAAGATGAATTTAAGATATGGTTTGGAGATAGCATTGACAGGACTTTCGGAAGGGTTAGTTGTAGAAGGTGGGAATAAACCAGTCATGGATAGCTTCCACATGTTCGGCTTAAGCAACTGGATGGATGATGCTGCCATTCAGTGAATGAAAAACTTGATGGGAGTGAGGTTGGGAAACCAGACATCTCTTCTATCTAGGTTAATTTGAGGTTCTTGTGAAGTGTGCCAGAGGATGAGTAGAGTAAGTAATTGAATGTTGTGGTGGAGACTTAGTTGTCCGCCAAAATAACTGTTCTCATTGTTAGCCATACACCTACATTACATTCCTTAGCCCCTGTAAGTAAGTGTGGCCATGTGTTTATGCTCTCCCCAGTGGAAAGTGAGCAGTAGAGATGTGCAGTTTCCAGGCCTGGCCCATAGAAACCTTCAACAGGTGTTCCTCTATGCTCTTACTTATTCTGCCAGCTGGAAGCAAATGATGACCAGATTCTGAAAAAGGCAAGGCCTCAAGATAGAAGATTCCTGGGTGGAAAAGAACTCTGCCCCTCGCCTAAATGTCCGCTCAAGACTGTTATAAGAGAAAAAAATAAATAAACTTATATTGTGTTGAGTTTTTACTTGAGTTTTTTTTTGTTATAGCAGCTTTTCTATGCTACCTGATAAGAATAAGAACAGTGATCCAACAGTGAACTTTGGGAGGAAATTTCTAAATGACTTGAATTGACTTTATCCATAATAGGAAACAGGAGGTGCCTTGGATTCATTCATTAATTCAGTAAGAATTTATCAAGTTCCTCTCTGTCAGGCACTGTGCTACGTAATAGAGGGTGCAGAGGTGAAGAAGAGACAAGGTCCCTGCCCTCAAGCAGCTCTAAGTCTAGCAGCTCAACTTATTGATTTATTTGCACATGTTTTTCCTCTATGTAGAAACCTATTCTCCCCTCTCAGCATACACAGTCTAATTTCTACTCATTCTTCAGCCTAATTCTAAATACTGTTTTTTCAGAAAGACAGTGCCTAACCCTTGCCCTCCTTTCATGATCTAAATCAGATGTTCCTATAATAATCTCATAATTTATCTCCTTTTACTTACCATAGTTATGTATTTATTTCCTTTTTATTCATTAGTGTCCTTCTTCCCCACTAGACTAAATAATAACAAGGGAAAGAATCTTATGTCTTATTGATCATACCCTCAACACCCAGCACATTGAAGGGGCTCAATAAATATTTGTCAAAGGAATCTATAAATGAAGAAATCAGAGCCCCAAGAAGGGAGAGGTTTCTTCCAGTGAAATTCCTCCATTTTTTGTTGGTGAGGTGGCCATGGTAGGCAGCCTCTGAAATAGCCTCCAGTGATGCTCACTTCCTGGTATTTGTGATATTGTGTAATCCCCTCACCCTGCATTTGGGCTGGTATCTAGTGGGTTCTGATGGTGGGATGTCATGTCCAAGATTAAGTTACAGAAAGGCTATGGCTTCCATCTTGTGTGCCCTCTCTCATTCATTTGCTCTGAGGGGAAACCAGCTCACTTGTGAGCTGCTTTCTTACTTTCTTAGGGCAGCTGTAATTAAGTTTCGCAAACTGGATGTCTTAGAACAACAAATTTATTCTCCCACAGTTCAGGAGCCAGAAGTCTGAAATCAAGGTGGCAGCAGAACCATGTTTCCTTTGAAGACTCTAGAGAAGACTCCTTCCTTCTGGTGGCTCCAGGCAGTCCTTGGCATTCTTTGGCTTGTAGCTGCATCACTCCAAGTACTACTTCCAATCTCTACCTTCAACTCGTCAATTTCACATGGCCTTCTCTTGTGTCTGTGCCCTCTCTTCTTTTTTTTTTTTTTTTTGTAGCTGGCCAGCAAGAGGATCCAAATTTTTTACTTCGATGTTATCAGCACCATGATCTAACCAACCTCTCTACTTATAAGGACACCAGTCATTGGATTTAGGGCCCACCCTAATCCAGTGTGATCTGAATTACATCTGCAAATATCTTATTTCCAAATAAGATCATATTCTCAGTTTCTGTGCAAACATGAATTTTGGAGCAATGTACTATTCAATCCAGTACAGTTGCTCTGTAAAGGGGTCCTCATGTCAAGGAACTAGTGTCTCTCACTAACTGCCAGTGAGAACCTGAGGCCTGACAACAGTCACATAAGTGAGCTTAGAAAGGATCCTCCCTAGGGCCGGCCCGTGGCTCACTTGGGAGAGTGTGGTGCTGACAACACCAAGTCAAGGGTTAAGATCCCCTTTCCGGTGAGAGAAAGATCAAAGGTAGTGCCTCAGAAAACTATTCAGTCATGAAAAATATCCTTTAAAGAGATTCAGTGTACACCTCATAGATACTCTCAAACAGTACGATCTCTAAGAAGCTTATGGTCATTGTTCCTCCACCCTCTCAGCAGAAGCCCAAGGTGGAGAAGAATTTATTTCAGGGAGGTTTGTGGGTGTGGTTTTTGTCTAATGGAGTGAACCCCAAGAAATTTCCCAGGAAACTATGAAGATTTTGGAAGAGATATATTTGGACTCCTTGACTGAGGGAGAAAGAAACAGTGCAGAATGAAGAGAGACCTTTAAACCTCTGGAATTCTACTGGCAGGAAGCAGACTGAGAGCTGCTCAACTGCAAACATGCCATATTTTATGAAAAAGGACTCAGAGAGTGGAGGCAAGAGCCATGGATAATTATTCTCAGGCACTGAGAACTAATCTTGGAACTTCCAACATCTGCCCAGCTGGATTTTGGAATTGCTGTGGACTCCTTTGTGCCTCCTACTTCCCCCCCCCCCTTTTTTTTTTTTTTTAGATCCCCCCTGAGTTGAGCCTTGAGATGATTGTAGCCCTGGCCAATGGTTTCATTACAGCCTATGAAAGACCCTGTGCTTGAGGCACCCAGCTAAGCCATGCCCAAATTCCTGACCCACAGAAACTGAGGTAAAAGTTGTTTTGAGGCACTAAATTATGGGGTAATTTGTCATGCAGCTTAAATAATACAGATTTTTGTACCATACATATTTTAATACCTGGAAGTGGGGTACTGTCATAATAACTACCTAAAATGTAGGAATGGTTTTGGAACTGTGCTGGGAACCAAGGCTGGAAAAATTCTGAGGAGTGTGTTAAAGAAAGCATAAATTATCGTGAACAAAGGGAAGTGAGGAACATGTTATTGGAAACTGGATGAAGGGGAATCCTTGTTATGAAGTAGCAGAAAACAACACTGTCATCAGCAGTTACGTGGAAAGTAAAAAATATTTCTGATGAGGTGGGTGATCTAGCTAAGGGAATTTCTAAGCAGTCTGTGCCGCCTGGTTTCTTCTTGCTGCTTTATAGTAAGATGTGGGGAGACAGAAATTGTGAGGACTATTAAACAATAAGCAGCCAGGACTTGATGATTTTGAAATTTTGCAGTCTCTAAGTGGCAGTCAATGCTAAGATTAAGCAGTGGCTTTCAAGCTAAGACCAAAGTCAGCACTGCAAGTAAAATGTGGTGTGTCCGGGCCGACCCAGTGACTCACTCGGGGGAGTGTGGCGCTGGGAGCACCGAGGCCGCAGGTTCGGATCCTATATAGGGATGGCCGGTGCGCTCACTGGCTGAGCGCGGTGCGGGCGACACCGAGCCAAGGGTTATGATCCCCTTACCGGTCACAAAAAAAAAAAAAAAAATGTGATGTGTCCTAGTTTGAGCTGCCATTACAAAATACAATAGACTGGGTAGCTTAAACAACAGACATTTACTTGTCATGGTTCTGAAGGCTGGGAAGTCTAAGATTAAGAT